GACGCATGGCCCTACACAGCCACAACACACACGCGCGCACACACACACACACACACACACACACGGCACATAAAAACTGTTAGTTGCAAAAACTGGCTGCAGAATTTCCACAGTTCTACAAAATGCAGCATGTCCAGGTAATATAATGACCACTTTCTCAAGGCCATCAACTCAGACTTTACGCTGTTTGCTGTAGCTTTTGTGAACTACTGCAATTTCTAATCTTTTTTCTAAACACTGCACAAAGCCAGGACTCCAACAGCTCAGCATGCAGTGTTAATTACTAATCTCTGAAAACTGAAACTGTGAAAAGGACTAAACCTCAAAAAACTCAATTTGTCATGTTAAAGGAATAGTTTAACTTTTTGGGAAATATGCGTACATACACTTTTTTGTTGAGATTTTGTTGAGATGTAAAGAATAGTTGCAACCGCTTATCTTAGCTTAGCACAAATTACTGGAAACAAGCGGTAAAAGCTAACCCGGCTCTGTCTGAAACCTGTCAACGTGTCTTTTTTACACTTCGGTTTTTGTACGGACTAAAGAAAACAAGATATTACATGTTAATTAGTGAAGTGTTGGTATGCTACACTAAGCTAACCGCTGTTGTAGCTTTATAATTAACATACAGATGTGAGAGTGGTGTCAAACTTCCCATCTAATTCTCGGTAAGAAGGTGTATTTCCCAAACTGTCAAACTATTCCTTTAGGACCTTATAATGTGTCCACAAACCTTACATACAGTAAACACCGTGAGAACAACAGCTAACACAATGAATCAAGGTCCCAGTTATGATAAAATAGCCTGACTAGCCTCATTAGTCAAGACGTGATATAAGCAAAACTAAACTGTAATGCAGAACCTTATCACCATAAAAACGTATTAAAGGCTGGCGCTGTTTCAGCAGCCGCTGGTAATAACAAACACATTAGTCTGGTAATATTATTGCGTGATGGGGAACAAAATGCTTCAGCATGCTCGGAGGTGAAGTTTGTTGCCCAGAATTCTCAAAATGACAAATAGAAGTGTGTGGCCATCTATACCACAGCGTGCACAAACAATTATTATACTTTATTTGCAATAATGCTAATAAATGAAAAACAAATTTCTACATGCTTTACAACATCCCGCAAGATCCCTGGATTCAGTTTGCGGTCACTGCACACAAATGTTAAGAAATGCTGATGTGATAAGAGGCAAACATCCTGCAGAATGAAACCATCGCTACGAAACAATTTAGAGCTTACGCGACAGTAGCATGGTCCATCTCTCCGGTCACCTCTAGGCCATAGACGCGCTGCATGTCGCTGATGGCTTTGGACAGAATCTGAGACGACTGCATGGTGGACATCTGCCTGCTCGCCTGAGACAGGTAGCCGAACTTACGAAGCCAGGCCTGCGAAGAGAGAGTGAGAACTCAGTTTTGCTTAGTTCAACTTGGGGATATTTGCTCAACACACGTGTCTGCTTTTGTGTGTGTGGGACACATGGTGCATATAGTATTATGTGTATGACAACTAAAATTGGGAGGGACGAGATGTTATGCTAATCCAGGCTCAAGACACTGTCTAATAACTGGAGGGAGCATCCGAGGAGTTAAAAGAAAAGAGAAAGTAAAGATAGAAACCAGATGGCTTCCATTAACATTATGACATTCCAGCTCTCCCATTCCTGCGCCTTCTCCTCACTGACAGCCGAGATGAGGAGAGGAAGATCTGGACACAGGGAAACTGAAAGGACAACAATTAAACTGCATATCACTACTGTTGTACACAAGAAAAACACAAAGCTGTGCATGTGCATACTTCAAATGACGGTAAAAGACGATCTTGCTGACAGTCTAGTGACACATGCTGGATTTTCCCTCATTGCTTCATGTTTGCTGACTGTGAAACTAAGCGTGTGGAGCCACGTAGCCAGGCAAACAGGACAGTGGCTCCTGGCTGGGTGTGTGTGTGGGGGGGGGTTTGCCCTTTAAGAAGCCTCATCAGCAGAGCTCAAAAACAACACCACAGGACCCTCTCACACAGCTGGACCATGGGACTCTGGTATACTTTAAATGCATGTACAGGATGAACACAGGGCAGGAGCAAAACACACACATGCGACGTGCAAACTCATCATGTGCGCTGCAAACTGGTGTTCACTACAATGAACTGTGTTATATTTTTATGTATGAAAAGGCTTCAATCAAATATCTTTTCTAATGGCACCTTGCTCTGAATAACGGTAACCTCCTTATTAAGCATTTATAAGCATTGCTTAGACACTTAATAACACACTAAAATGTGTTTTTGATCAGATGTAAGTATAAATGTTTTGTGTTTATTAATGCATTTGTTAACAATTAAAGGTTCCATCCATCTGTAACTGTTGTATGAACGGTTAACGAATGATTGACAGCACAGTGTCTAATCAAATGCTAAAATATCCACATGAATTAGAATTTGCCCAGTTGTCATGAGAGTGAAGAAATATTGATATAAACTATAAGGAAATATTTTATAGGCTATAATTAATACTGTGCTACATTATATTGTTGATCATTCATTATCTGTTTATACCACCAGTTATGAATACTATGAGTTCCAATTGACAAATACATTAATGAACACTTAAAAACTCCTTATATCTGCTTAAAACTAGGTTAGTCTGTTATAAACAGTTTATTAGGGTTAGGGCTCTGCTTATAAGTTCTGCAAATTTATGCTAAAAGAAAGTGTGTCAATGTGGGGTTCATGAAGTTTAACATAATGTGATCATATCTGATTCCAACAAAAGTCAAACTACTGAATTATTTTTTAACCCTACGGGTGAGTTTTACCTTGTAATACCATCACACTTTTTTCACTACAGTTGGTAATTAGATGGTTTTGCATTCTTTCCATGTGTGTACCACATGGTCAGTGATGTTATTTGGAAAAAGGTCAAAGGGTCAGATGACAACATCCCTGCAGTGCAATAGCCCCACATGAAGCTTTGACGTTTTAGCAAAACAAACATGTAGATTTTAACTAATATAACCTGGTTATGAAGAGCTTTAATTCTACAACATATCCACATAAAGGATCCCCTAAGACAACATATAGCAGTATTTTGAGAAGTGTTGATTCATGAAGTTACAAATGATACAATCCTGAATTGGAATATTGTGACCATCTAATTGGGAAATGTGGTCATGACTATACCTCAGCACTGAAACCTTCTTCCTCTGGGACATCTGCTGCTGCGCTGCACAGGACCAAGACGATAGACGAGAATAAAGACGATAGAGCGATTATGATGTGAGGCCAGGGTTGTTTGGATGCCCTCTGCTTCATGGTGTGCAGCCTGCGGTCCCCCGATGAAAGCGAGCGATGAAGATGACAGAACACAGCTAAACAAGTTCCTCAGACAGGCAGGCACACAGAACAAAGTGCTGGAGGGTTTATTCTCTGCTCGTCCTCTCACATTTAATCACAAAGCTCCGCAACAAGTCAGCTATCTGCTCATTCTTGGAGTTGGCATGTCAGAAACCTCGAAAAAGTCCTGCAAAGTAGGCTATATTACACAAATAACGGCGCAATTACAAACCGTCGGGAAAAACAGGAATCAAGATATTAATCTATTCCCGGTCACAGGCAGTCCGATTTTACCTGGGCCAGCAGCTTCATGGCTCATCCAAGAGTTAATACATCAGTTTATTTCATGCAAACACTGTAGCCAGCGGGCGAATGAACTGGTCCTTGCCCCTTTCCGACATCCACAATGGCTGATCAGCAGCGGGGAGCACAGTAACAAGTCCTCGTCCACTGCCAACATAAGCATCCGGGGCCCAGCAGTCAGCACACGAAAAGTGTCTCTAAAGCTACGCAGTTTCTCAACCTGCTGCAAAATGTTGCACACGAAAGGAAAAAAACCTTCGGAACTCAAGTGCGAGGCTATCAGATTTCACCTGCGCCGTCTTGCACCAATGGACTTCCAACTCGAAACGGAAGAGCGTTGTGCAAATATTTATGAGACCGCAATCAAACAGCTGTCCATTTGTACTGATTTCATATGAAGCCAGGGCCCTCCTCCCTCTGGATCTGATACATAAGATCCACATCAAAGGGCCACAGGAAGAAATGGTCAGTGCGCCATCTGCTGTTTCTGCTGTAAACTACAGTAAAATAGAATGTGGTAAGTTTTAATACTTTAAATGTGTGCAGACATTTAATTAGATTCAGCATCAAGTTTGTGTTTTAACTTGTATATTACATAGTTTGCCTTATGCAGTTTGCCTTATGCATCCCTCAAAGCAAAATGTTTAATTCAACAAGACAACAGAACTTTCATATTGATTTGTCATAGCAGGAACATCACAGGTGTGACTAACAACATTAATGATGGAGCAGTTTAATTAAGTGTGACAGTGAGCCACCTGGCACAAATAGACATAACACACGCACACAAACGCCTTGTGGCACTAACTTTGTGTGGAACTACCATTGATATAAAGCATTTCCTAGCCACTTACCTTAATCACAACTACATGCCTAACCTAAACCTTAACACCAAGTCTTAACTCTAAGCTCTTTAAACCTGTGGGATACACACAAACGTGTCAAATCTAGCTGTAGTATTACATTTTTAAAATACTTTGATCTCCAGGAATGCTGTTACTTTCATTATTGTTCCGGAGTGTTTCATTTCTCTCAAATAAAACAAAGTGGAAAAGTTACTTTGTAGTGCAACTCTCAGACTCTTAAACCGAGACCTGTTAACATCCAGTTCATTCACAGAAGACAATGGATTAACCCAGCACTGATCTTACTGGGCTGATTTAAGGAACTTAATTTACACAAATATCAAGTCTTACTGTTCACATCTGACATGAAATGCTGAGAATAACTCAATTGTCACTATTGCCTCATAACATTAACTTTGGTAGTCACATTTGTGCCCAATTTAAAACTTCTTAACCCCACTGTGACAACACTTGTGGGGAATCAAGACAGGAACAACAAAAACACATGGATGCTTTTTTAAAAGATTTATTCAAGTGAGTGCCCATCCATTTTTGCAAGCCTCCTGCTGCCTGCCTTGGCCATAGTGATGAGGATGATGAGGAAGAAGCCCACAGTCCAGATGCCTGCTACAGGCAGCACCACTGTCGCCAGTATGCCTGAAACAAATGCCAAAGAGATAATAGTGGTATCCACATCAAATACAGTGGGAATATATGGCTGCCATTGACGCCAGGGAAACAAAGGGAAGGTCTAACAGCTATAACTCCCTGATCGTGCAGGGGCAGGAGTATGACAGCAGTTACAAATAAAGAGGAGCTTACTGGATTGAGGTATGTCTGGCATTTCAATCTTGATGGGTCCATATGACAAGAGGCCCTGGGTGGGGTCTGCTCTCACCGCTTCTCTCTTACTGATTGAATTACAGTTCTGTGAAGAAAACAAAAACAGACAAACATTTTAGACATAGGCCTACATATTTTTAGGTGGTCAAGTCTCACCGTGAGCCTAATGTCATATAACCTCTTAAAGCTACAATTAATGACGTAAGAGGAGCTCACAGGTGTGCAGGACATGTGGTCCTCTGGCTCACACAGCTGTATAGTGCAGTGCAGGTAGAAGTGACGAGGTTCTGCCGTGAAGCGAAACATGTCGAAGCTGAAGTGAATGGTGGAACTTTCTCCATTACGGCCAGACTTTCCCGCGCTCACGTTTAAAAAGGAAACAGTTTGGTCCTTCGCACACCTGGGTAAAGAGATGGGCACAAGGAGTAGGACTGGCATGAGTGGAGCTCATAGTTCAAAAGAGGGATGGACTGTCAATATGGAGGAGCTGTTCTGACCCGTTCAGAAGCAGATCATGGACCGATCCCTCTGTGGTGTTCGCATGGGGAGTCTGTGTGGCCCAGCACTCGTTTACCCGAAGCAGGAAGATATCAGCAGGCTCTGTCACCTCCACATACACCTAGGCACATTTAAAAAAAATAAAAATAAAGTAAAAAAGGAAGTCATCTGATAATAGCTTGACCAAAATATGATTCATATATGGTTGAACTGGTCGATGAACATTCACCTACTTTGTCTCCGAGTTCAATGATGGGGGTACTACTGAAGGCCTTAGTGTAGGAGTGGTCTGTGTACAACATCATCTGTATCCTGGCGTCATGTTCATCTACACGAATCACCGTCTCACTGTCGGCATGCGGAGGTGAGTACACAGCTTATTAACACTATAAATAAGAAATTCGAGATCCTTACCTTATAATGGCGGCGATCGGGAAAGGCAGACTGACTCTTCTGATGTACGGAGACACACACGTGTAATTCATCTTAATGACTGGATCTCTGATGATGTTTCCAATAATCTGAGGGTCTGACATTAGACTCAGGGAATATGAGATGTGAGTAAAGTTTTTCTGTAAGGAGGAGGGAAAAAAACTGCACTACTGACACATAATTGTTCAAATGTTTGCCCCTTTTCTATGCTGAACCACAGTGACAGGTTTGTGCTTGACAGTTAAACTACATAATGGGCCGGTTGTACCTCCAGCGGCTTGCCTCCACAAGTTAGATATTGGTCTTTAGATATCCTGGACATGTAGTATGGCACACCCTTGATGACCTCCCTCTGAGCGCGACAGGATTTGTTGGGTAAGTGGAGGGACTCAAGCGGCACATTGTGATACTTGAAGAAATCTTCTATCACTCTGATTGCTATGTAGTCTCTGCCGCACATGACTTTGATGTGTGCATCTGTAAAAAAAAAAAATAAATGAAAATTTTTATAGCTTACAGGTCATTAACATGTTTTACTCCCTCTGATTTTACACATAATGGTCAGTTTAACCTTTGTTTACAGTTTGTTTACGGTCTGTGTCTCTGGAGGGAAAAATATAACCCTGATGATGTCATCAAGGTTATTTATCAGCTTATTTCTCAGGCTTGGTGTCTAAAAAGTCTAAACAGTGTAAAAGAAAGCCTTTGTACAATGGGGGCAAGGAGTTTGAAAGATGTGGGCATTTAACCAAGCAGGTTGGGACAAACGAAAGGATGCCATCGTTGCATTGTGGGAAATGTAGGAGCCAACATCTCTGGAGCCTAACACTCACTAGGGACTAAAAGTCAGTATTTCTGGACCCCTGTTACATCAGTTTTTAACCATTCAGTCTTAAGCTTTGTCCCAACATTGGGTGCAATACTAAGTTGCTGACCCTTGAAAAAGTTAATAGAAGATGGTAACCCACCCACAGTCACAAATAAATACCTTTCAGGCAGAGTGAATTATATAAACACACAGTGCTTACCTTTGTCACACTGGTCAGAATAATATCCAGTGGCACACTTGCAGCTTCTTTGGTCTTTAGACAGAACACATCTTGTGCGGTCGGTGCAGTGCTCCACGCTGCAGACTCCTGCTCAGTGAAGAAAGCACTCTTCAAACTTCGCCAAGCGTCAACACATTTGCCATTTTCATACAAGTAGACCACATCTTCCATCATCTTACCCTCAACGCGGTGGCGCGTGAACCCGAGGAGAAGCACGAGGACCACGCTCAGCTGGTTTGAAGAATGAACATATCCACTTTAACTGTGTAAAGTGTTAAATTATTTATTTACCGTCTAGCTAGGTCACATTCAGTTGAGCCCAATGCAAAAAAAACTCCTCAAGCTAGTTTAGTTACAGTAAGGATCAATAATGCTCTTTAAATGTGTGTCTACACCCACCTTCAAGCCGATAAGGTTCATTGCTGTGCTTTTTCGCGTAAAAATAATATAAATAAATCTGGTTATACTTTCAGTCAGACGGGATGTTCTCCATTAATGTCGCTGTTTTCAACACCTGCTCCTCCAATTATGAACACCTGTCAGGTTTTGGTGCTCGTGTGCTCATTAAACGCGATCAAATTCGACCATTTTCTCCAACAGGAGAATCAGTGCTGGCATTGTATGTTTTAAGTGAATTGTATTAAACTGTATATAATAGTATTCATTGGGGAATTAAAACTATTTCAGCTATTTGTAAAAAATATGAAATGTATGAAAAGCATATTTACAAAATAGGCCTACAGTACACTATTCAATTTGTAACTTTTTATACCATACTGCAACAAGCATATCAGACAAAGGCACAAAACATAAACCTAACCCATCCACTTTATTTAAGACAGTTCACTCACATAGCATATGTCGCCTTGTTTCAAAGATAGGGTTTGCCTTTAATAAAAATAACATTTCCTCCAGATGTCACTATTATCAATCAGCACAAAGTGGTCAGTGCTTTGGAGGGTTTAACAATTGAACATTACTGTCAGGAGGTGTGATGCTATGTAAACTATCCTCTACATTGCAAATTATAAATCAGTACTCAAGTGGATTAGGAAATCTCTAAGAAGATTTCTTTTGGATCTCACATTCAGTAAACCAAACACTAAAGTGGAGTTAGAGAGAGATTTTGGTAGAGAAGGAATAGAATAAAGGATTTTAGTGGCTCTGCCATGATGTCTCAAGGGAAAGCAGTAAGTGTGTCACTGTATTCCCTACAGTGCCAACTCGTCACACCCGGAGGCCAGACTCCATATTCTCAGACATTTGGGCGCAGACCATCTGTTTTTGATGGGGCAGATCAGAGCCAGAATACGTTGCTAGATAAAAAGGGAGGCACCATTGATGAGGCAGGTTTGCAGCAGTCCATCTGTGGTGACAGATCAGATGGGCTGAGATAACAATGTGTTTTCTGTCTGTCTTGGTACCCTCCATCTTGGAGAGACCGTTCATGGTAAAGCACTAAGCACTAATATGTGAGGATGGGATCTTAAAGGCAACACAGCCTCAGGGACACTGTAGGCCACAAACACAATCCATCCAACCACATTCTTCCTGAACTGGACACCATTACAAAGTCTCCCATATAATTTTAAGGCATTTAAAATTAATAAACACATATGCCTAAGTAAGATTGAAAGATGCAACATTGCTAAACCTAAAGCTGTTAAAGATTTTCAAACGATGGCAAACAACAGGTCTATGTTAAAATGCTGTAAATGTATTAAGCAGGGAGGCCACATAAATGCACACTGCCAGTCAGCTTGAGATGAGATTTTAAAATCTTTAAATTTGTTTAAATTATAGCCTACTCTGTTCGGGAGCGTCCCATCATCTGGAAAAAAAGCATATGGTGAGGAGGGTTTCTGTTCATACACCCCAAGACTCCACTCTCTGCCAGTGGATTTAATTATTAGCATATCAAAGTGTTAAATCGCTCAAATGAAACCTCAAAACACTTTTATTTTTGGCCCAGTAAAATTCATTTTTACTGATCATGAAGTTCAGCTTCATTTGAGGTTTTCTTTGTTTTTTGAAATGAAAATAAGATGTTCATTATTATTTTATTGGGCTACTACAACCTCAAGTTCACACAAGCAGCACCAGAAGATATATACAGAGGGAATATTGGTGATATATTATATATTAAAAAAACAAAGGGGTAGAAAAGATGTTTTTGCAGAGACGGTTTATGAAACGTGTCAACATTTTCACCTGTGAATGCAGCTTGATCTTACCGGTAAGAATTTGTCTTTACATTATTTAATTTAGAAAACATACGTGGTCCTGATGTCTGAGTCACTGAAATGAAATTTATGTTATTATTGAGTGGAGAAGTCAGCACAGCAGGTTACAGTGAAATCATTTTCCAGGTTTTTAAAAACACCTTTAGTTTTACAGTTAAATGCATGCTATTCCACTGGAAATTGGCAGGATAACTCTGAGTTATCGAATTTATGCAAATACATTACACTTTTTCTCCTTGCATCATCTCCCTTAGCAGCATTGTGTTCTGGTTCTTCGTCTCGTCGGCAGTGGTGCAGTGCCACCCTGGTGTTGTGAAATAGCCGGGTTATAGGAGGTGTCTGTCATCGGCCTGATTCACAACACCAGCTGCAGCACACACACCTGAGAGGCAGGTCTTCTGCTGCTTGACATATTAAAAACACACACACACAAGGCAGATTGTACAAAAACCACAGGAAGAGGAAGAACTCATTCAATAGGGATGTAAAGACTGATAACACCAGTTACTAAAGCCTGACCACACACTTGTGACTAATCTGCATCCGATTCTAGTTGAGGATAGCTAATCTGATGTCATTTATATGCCCAGCTGATATGCCACGTGATCTTAAGTTTGTCTGGCACATTATCAAGTGTTGGAGGGCAGTGGTGCATCTCTGCTCCCGGCGCTGGGTACAACAGATCCCAGAGTGCTTGGCTCAGCTCTGCTCTCTCTCTCTGTGGCCGTGGATGGACTCAACAGCTATGTACAGCTATGTGGAGCAGCCAAGACAGAATGAGCCTCCATCTGCGTTCTCTCAGGCCAGACTGAAGGACAGAGAGTGTGGGTCACAAATTTAACGGAGGGGACGACGAGCAATTGTTTGAGGATTTGCGTGTGCTTTGGTGGATAGCAGTCCTCAGCTGAAGTCAGTTTGACAGGACATCGGTGGGCTGTTGTGTTCAGGTGGATTCTAAAGACATTGTAAGGTGGTTACTATGGTGTTCTAGATGGTCGCTAGGGCGTAATCACAGGTCAGGCGGAAAAATGTTCAAAGTGTAGGGACCTGTTTAAGTGACATTTATAGATCAAATAATGACAGAGTCCAGTGAACACAAAATATGAGTGGGTATGAGCATTCTGCACAACCGGTTCACGATTCTCAATGGAGAAAAAACAGTGTCTGCAAAACTGAGAAATTCAAGCAATAAATTCATTAGAACAGGCTGATTTACTTAGAGAATATGTAAAACTCTCACTCCTTTTTTTTCCATACAGTAAAATACCTAATATGATTAAGAATGTGCAAGGAGTTTTCAATAATGTTATTAGCCCAGAAATCACCCCTCTGATGCAGAGATGGACAGAAATATCCCTCCAGTGAAGTCAAGTTCAAGCCAACCGTCCATCTGCCAGGGGACAGGACGTGTCACAGATACTGCACTACAGCCGGTGGAAACAACATGGCTGCCTCCTGCAACACTCAGGATCGGCTATTGTAGACAGCAGCTTGCTCATGTTAAACCAGAGAGTTTCATCAACACTTCACTCCATGGATAAATGAGCTCAAGAAATCTCACACCTGTGTGCATCGTTTTGTGCTCAATGTTCTGCGTCTGACAAGACGTACCTGCAGCTTCCCTCTAAATGATATGAACAGTCTCTATTCCTCTGATTAAACAGTTCAGCCGCTGACTGTCCCTGTGAACATGTTTATGAATAATCAAACACAAAATCACAACGACCATCCTTTCAAAACAGCTGCACTCTAATTATTGTGTCAGCTGTTTGATCATCATTTTGATTATCATTTATTCGTGAGTTAATGACTAATGAGTATAAAACGTGGAATAAATGCAGCTCATCTAAGACCTGGACAGAGAAAATAAGCTAGAACAGCTGCAGGAAAATGTGAATAAGTGTTTGATTGCAAACTGATATAACTATCCAATTTAAAAGGTACACTTTTAAAATTAAATTAAAGAAAAAAAAAAAAAAAAAAAAAGAAATTAAAGAGTTTCATAGCAGATGCAGAATGGTTGTGTGGTCCTTCGGCACTCTTTACTATGAGAGACCAAAGACTTGACTGACTGCTCTGCACATGCAACAGTTACTGTGAAAACAAAACTTTAAAAAAATGAGGGTAAATGAAAATAAAGCAATGGACATTAAGTGGTTTAAAATAAAAAAGACAACTGAAAAGTAAACTTATTTTTTTATTCCAAATGGTCAAACATACAAATATGCAAACAACAAAATGGAAAAACAACAGAACAAAAAACAACAGACTGACATTTAACAGGAACTCAGATGGGTGATATAAGGATGAATGTAGTAATCTATACAAAACAAAATGGTAGACTGGTGAGCGTGTGTGAATGATTGTGTCTCCAAAAAGGTTTCTAGCTGTCAGAAAGATAGCTGTATGTGTGTGCGTGTGTTGTCTCAGTTCATTAGTAATTCCATCTGCACCAGTCTTGCGTTGGTGTCCCCGGCCATGTTGTAGGGAATCATACCAGCAAAGGTGATCAGGGCTCTGGCCTGGCTGCGGAGTTGCTGTTTGAGGAAGAAGGCATGCAAAGCTTTAGCACACAAATGTGTAGACTTGGCAAGACTGCTTTTTGCTACCATGCACTTTTTGCAGTTTTTTTTTGTTGCAGTGTTTGTAAGATCTATAACTAAACCAAATTACTACAACTGAATTTGAATAGTAAAAATTGACCCATTTATATTAGAGCCTGAACAATACTTCAACATGGCCAGACGATTTGAGCTTATCACACATATATTGGTCTATACGTCAGCCTTTTAGTAAAAGATACTGCAGTACACACATGCCCAAAGTATGTTAAAGTTTTGAAATAGTGTAACATATTTTCTCCTTTACATGGCATTTAAAAATGTCCCGCTCTGTACGTAAACAAAAATGTTTAAGTTATATGATTATGTTGCCGTTACATATTGTGAGATTTTTTTTTTTTAAACTCCGAAGTATCACTATTGGCATCTGCCTTACAAAACCAATGTCTATCCAGTTTGTCCCTCTGCTTCTCACCATGTCTCTGTCCTCTATGGTCCTCTGCGGTCGTCCTGGGGTGCCTGCTGGTGCCCCCTTCAGCCGTTTGTGCTGAGTGAACAGGATGTTCATGGTGGCCAAGAGCACTTCAGACAGGTTGTGGCGCACCTACGGAAACGGAGGAAATTTAGGTAAGAGAGAGTAAAAGAATACCGCTGTGTACTGTTAGGAAGTCTGAAAGTCCCCTTTGACCTCACCTCATCACT